AGACCCGTTACATATGGATAGGGAGTCAAACAGATAGAGACAGTATGATATGATTATGATGACATGATATGATATAAATTGACTTGATTATTTTTTGAAATGGATTGATTTTGTTTAAATTTGGTTGGACCTGATTTGATTTAATGTGAACAACAATTAAGTGAAATTAATGTAAATAATGTTAAGCTCAAGTTTGTTGCAACACCCCAACGGGGTCATGTACCACTCACTATTAAGTATGTAAGACCTTATAATAAATAATGTACATGAGCAATGTGAAATAAATAAATAAAAAAGTAATAGGATTCCGTTTTTCCCTTTGGGTACGGAACCCTAAATACATATCATATTTAATCAAGATTAATACATAGTTACCAGCTATACAGTTGAAAAAATCTTTTGTAACGAAAGAAATAGTTACGAAAAGCATGGGATTGTTTTTTAGGGTTCCGTACCTCAAAAGAAAAAAATAAGTATTACGATTCCTTTAAATTGTGAAAAAAAAACCTTCTAAGTTAACGTTAAAAAGAGTACCTGCAAATTTGTACGGAACCCTCGGTGCTAAGTCCGACTCGCATTTGTCCAGTTTTTTGTTCTATACAAAGGTTTCGGTTTTCGACTTTCTTCATCGAAAGGACAGGGCTACATTGATCTTGGCAATCCACGGCAAACGTGACGGCTTCATTACACGGCCATTGGAATATTTTCCGAGAAAACTCTAGCATTTCCTGGCTCGGTTAGGAGCGGAGTTGGTCGTGCCGCGATTTCAATCTGGCGCGTGCACTTGGGGAACTAACTCTCAGTTGCAAATTCGATCTCGATTGGATGGAGCGAGCCAGGGCCGGATTTAGAGGTCCAGAGGCCTCGGGGCAACAGAGGAGCGGAGGCCGCCTCACCCCAAATTATTTTCCAAATAAAGTAAACATTTTTTTTTCAGTAGAGTTTTTCAATAAATAATTTATTGTGAACCAAGTAGATTCCCTTAGTATTGAACAAACACATATAAATATAAACGGAAACAAGAATTATCTGAAATTAAATCTTAGAGTTAACGAACGGAACCGAAAAGATGTTTACTAGTTGGAATTTGAAAGACTTTTTTTCCGAAGTCTCTATTGCGGGGGCTTTCGCCCCGGTTGCCCTCTCCTAAATCCGGCAGTGGAGCGAGCGACCGATTCGTGTGACCCCTAAGGTTGCCAGACGGTCGAGAATCGTCTGAATCCTCCCGACACTCCCGACAAGTAAAGAAATCGCCCGACAAACGAAAAAAATTTAATTGGTGAATAAATATATATATATGATACCGCGGCCCTGATGGCCACGTCGAAATTCTTCTAGCCATTCGTAAGCTGCAAGGCAGCGCAAATAAATATTATAACTATAATTGCTATCTCTTCTTTCAAATTAATAAATTAAAATAATTATAATTAAAGTACTATATACAACCACCCATATAAAAGAAAAACCCGATATATAAGTAATTAATAAATTTTCACCACTCAACCACAACTTTTGTTTAAGGTAAAAAATACACAGTTATAAATACGGCTTAAATTATTTGGTCTTAAAGTATGTGTGTGCATGCAGTATAGTGTGTTTGTACCTTTGTAATTTACTTTTTATAGGATACGACGAGGGAACGGGACTGTTGCCCTTAACACAGATTATTTTATAATCTAGCTAGGGCTCAGTGCGACTATGTTAGAAAACTCTTATGCCTAAGATTTTGTTTTTTTTTTTTACTATTACCTACTTTATAAGAAAAAAAAAACTATGTACCTAATTAGTAAGTTTAAATATTGTACACTTTTTTGGCAAAATAAAAGATTATTATTATTATTATTATTAAATGTTTAATACTAAAAGTATTCATTTGACATTGTGGGTTAACTACAATGCAAAGAGATGGAAATATATATATATATATATATATATATATATATTTTATAATATCGTTTACCCTGCAGCACGATACGATTTTAAAGTGCTGGACTCATGCACTGTCCTCTACCTCATTCAGGGGAACAGGAAGCGTCCAGCTAGAGGGAGGCAGGACGGGTTTAATCCTACCGTCAACAATCCCAAAATCCCGCCATTTATAAATACTATCGCAATATTTGGACTTCTCCATCTGTACCGTTAGTACGAGTTTGAGCTCACGAAAACTATCATAGTTTTTGGTAATTGTAAATTATGTTTCTATGTCCATTTTGGGAAAAGTAACCAAATATACTTAAAATTAAAGAAGACGCAAATGTTTTAATGATGGAATTTAAACACTGTTTATTTATATTGAAACGAAAACAATAAAATCAGTACCCTTAGTACGAGTGCGAGCTCACGAAAACTATCATAGTTTTCGTAATTGTAAAACTCGTACAAGGGTACTAGTCCAGGCAACGAAAAGGTATAGAGGGAAATGCTTAGAACACAATTTTTGACTTCGTTACTTGGTTAGGACTAGTTAGGAGGTAAACATATCAAAAGTCCCCGCCCGTAGCCCTTAAGCCGGGGGGAAGGGGGGGAATAATTACAGACTTTCAAGAGCGGATATCTCGAAAACTATACAAGATATCAAAAAACTTGACTGAATAAGACTTGTAGCAAATTTAATCAGCTTTCACTTTTGTCAAAGTTTCATGTCGCTAGGATGCATAGTTTCCGAGATATATGCGAAAAACCTAAAAATGGGACCTTCAATCACCCCCCTTCCCCCCGGCTTAAGGGCTACGGGCGGGGACTTTTGATATGTTTACCTCTAACTAGTCCTAACAAAGTTACGAAGTCAAAAATTGTGTTCCAAGCATTTCCCTCTATACCTGTTTTTGAGCATTCGTTGCCTGGACTATACTGGCAACCTTAGTGACCCCCCTTTCAATGTGAGTGTTTGCCAGGCGTGCAGCGTGCACGGACTGCTCGCATAATGGAGGAACACGTGTCCATGCGAAGCTTCTATCCTTCCGTGTCTATTCCCGTCAGGGTCCAGTCTTAGCATCCCAGCCGTATATCCGTACTCTGCCTTGTAAAACGGCTATGATGGAGAAGAGTGTAGTAACCATGGCCCCACGGCTTTATAATAAATTGCCTGATAGTCTTAAGAAGTTAGACGACCTTAAATTCAAAACTGTATTGACTAAACTTTTGATTGACAAATGCTTTTATGACATTAAGGATTTTTTTTACTGAAAATTTGATATTTCGACATTTCAATTATGTAATTTAACTTAATTTTAATACGCGGATGATATGTAAATTTTTGACATTTGAAAAATTATTATATAGGTAGTATTTTCTTCTTTTCAACATCCTTAATTTGATACTTGTTTTTTTTAATGTTTTATTATAACAGGAATCGTAAATAATGTAATCATATAAAAATAACTTCATAAATTCATATACCAGAATGGTGAAACATAGACAGGACTAATACTTTTATTGTAACATCACTATAGTACTTATGTTTATGAATAAATTGATTTAATTTAATTTTTGATTGATTCTATTCTATCCAGTTACGCTCCGTTCCTACACGCATGGTGCTGAAGTAAACAAACACACGTCTTTTCATATACAAACACTACTACTGGTAAACGTAATCAAAATTTCATGTCTAATTTACAAATTCAAAAGAACGCAGAAAGGTTTCAGTAACGTCTTCCACTCGCATTAAATCAGTTTATCGAGAAACTATAAAAAAAAGTGGAAATCTCTGAAGAAATTTACGTTTGAGCAGATGCGTGAAATGGGGTCAGTGGTGTGATGCTATGGTTTCTATACACACAGACTGGGCACGGATAAACATAACTGCGGTGACGTAACGCGAGGAGAGCAGAGGCGGTATCTTGCGAAATATACTACAACTGTATATCCATTCTAAAGCTATTTACAATCCGCAAGTTATGGTGCGATAATATATAATAAATCCAACATCGAACGAAATTGTGTGCGTCAAGGTAGACCGGTTCTGTATACCGGTCGGTCATGTGACTTGTTTTCTTGACGCTTTGGACATTCAAACGACTGAGGTACACAGGTTGTTGCTTTGAGTTGATGAAGATTTAAAGAAATCAAACGGAAACATAACGAAATATTTTCGATTGCAAAAAACAAATGAATAAATTAAGCTGAAGTTTGGTACGCAGTCACAGATAGTTAATATGACTTAAGCATCTGTTAAGAAAAGGTTTTCTAAAATTCACCCGTTAAGGTGACGAAATGGCTCCAAAGTTTGTATGGAGAAAAAAAACAGCATAGTATTTTTATTTAAAACTTGGCAGAAATATTATCTGTAATAAATTCTATAGGGTGACTGACTATGTTACTCTAAATTAAAAGCAAGCAAAGACGCGGGTTAAAGCTAGTAAATTAATCAAAATAAAAAAAACATTTGTTCAAAATAGAATACTTTATCACTATCACACACACTCACAATAATATTTAATCACTTTATTCCATCGCGAGTTTAATAAAAGCAATCTTACCGCAATCAGAGATAGTTCCAAAATAATTCGTGATAATTAATGCCCGATAATTTGTAACCAAGTAATAGGTTACTATCAGTAATTATCAAGAGATTAAATCGACAATGAACTTGAGCAAATTATCATCGCAAGCGATTTCATAAAAGGTCCGATGTTTTGATCGTACGAGCGTGTTGTTGTTGAGAGAGATAAAAATATAAGATCGGGGTCGGTCGGTGGAGGCCATCTGCGTTGGTTAATTATAACTCCTCTAACTGAAGCATCGAACCCAACTTAGAGAATTTTCAATTGCAATCACGCGTAGTCTATCAGAGATGCAAAGGTGAAATTACATATGCAGATGCACTCTCTCCGCGCTAGTGCGCGCTAAACATTATTAGGAGTCAATTTATACACCTTTGAATGTGAAATGCATAGCGACCAAAAGCATAGATAGAAGATTGGCTCAGAAGAAAGGCAAGCTAAAGACAAAAGGGATTAATATTGTCACATCATCCATATATTACAATAATAAACACTCTAGGGCAGAATGGGACGTGTTTCCTGGCCATTAAAAAGAGGAAGTCGTTAGAGATTCTACAGTGACTCCGGTCTAAATAACGGTGTTGTGCCGGGCCTATTGCTATTATGAACACGCATAATTTCTTGGGACGTTTAAATCCTTATGCAATACTGGTGCATGAATATGCGTAAGACGTGTACTCGGAAACACAACGGTACTTATTTTTCATTGCGGTATTTGAGATAAAATCTGTAAACTAAATATAGAGATCGAGCTCACGTAGACTTTACAAATTACTAAGCAGAATTAGTTTAATTTTCCGTTTGCTATAAATAACCGTTTTGAAACTCAATGCTTCATTGATACCAGCGTTATTTCGGTCACTGTTATCGGCTGTTTGAATTGCGTGATCGAAATTCTCGCCAGTTAGCGGCTTAGCTAAAGAAGTTTGAATGAAATAATTGCCAAGTGTATGGCGGTCAGTCACGAGAAATTGCTTTGAACGAATGCCGAGAAAAGCTCGAATGTACCTCGGATCCCGCATTGAGCGCAGGCAGGCGGAACCAGCGCGGCCGACTGACACCACTGCACGCACAATGACGGAAGACACACATACGCTAATGGACGCTCTCTGCTGTATACCATAACACCTTAACACAGTGTTTCCTAACCTTTCCAATACTGCTACCCTGTAACCTGTTAGGAAAACAGATTTTACCCCGACTTTAAAATGTTATCATATGTCCAAGGAATTCCAATTTGGCCTCTACATCTTCGTCTCTAATAATGTCATCATCAGGAGTAAATCTCGCCCCGCTTCCCACACTCAGCACCCCGCGGGCTCGCTAGCAAGAAGGAGCGCATGCTCTATTTAGTAGTATTACTATATAGTATTTCCTTATTATTGGATGGAATTAATTTGACCAAATAATTAGGTTCTTTGCTACCCCCGAAGTATGGCTGATTTAACCCCGGAGGGGTAATTACCCCCAGGTTCGGAACCCAGGCCTTAACAGTTTCATTGCAAAGGGTCAATTGATTTCTTCTGACCCTTTTACGAGTTTAAAGCTACTTTAGTTAGCGATTCGACGCGACTACAATTGTGTTGTTTGAAATACATGCAAAGTTTGGTCGTAAGATGAGCAAAGATTTTCTCGTTTAACTGCTTGGATAGGATAAACTAAGATATTAGTTAGCATTGGTAGCTCACATTATTTAGGAAGAATTCGCTGTTAGAACAATAGATAGATACAAACAAATAACAGCGAATGGAAACTACAGAAAATGCATCAAGTTATACGGCATGTTGTTCATTCATGGGATCTTAGAACGGTGTCTCAACAATGCAACATGCTTGATTACGTTAATTATAATTGATTTCCTACGTTTACGTGCTATTATGATAATCACCGGCGGCGTATACAAAGGGACGTTTAGTTTGATAGTCACGTCCACAATGACGTACATTGGAAACAAAGTGTCTAATAGAAATTCAACTATTTTGAGGAACGCGACAAAAGCCTTAAATAGGACTTTGTGGATTTTCTTTTTATACGGGAATAGAATTAGTTTCCATTACATTAATACGCAATGCTATATCAGCTTTGTCTATTCAAACAAAGGCTCTTGACAACATAATATATCGCATTTGGTAAAGCAAAAATGTAAAATGTTATATTCAAAAGAATGCTCGCAAACAAAGAGTACGTATAATGGTACCAAACCCATAATACATTTAAAATAATGGTTCGATTAAATAAGTTTAACCTCAACTTTCTGTTATTGAAACTTTTACTGGTAATCGAGACGATGGCGGTGAAAGTGTTCAATGGGTAGATAGAAAAATCTTTACTTACCATGGCTTGCTCGATCTTATTGTCGATGGCCACCGCGCTTGTGCCCGATGCGCTGCAACAAAAAATATAAACATTTATTTATTTGTTACATTCAAGCTTACAGTATATAACCATAAAATTATCAGAAAATAATTCAAACTAGCAAAAAACACTGTACAGTTATACCTAATTAGTTAAAGCTGTTATAACAAAAACCATTTGTTATAATAGCGGAAAAGACTAGATTCGATTCGATTTCCGTCTCAATTTAATATACTCTAGTTATTTTTCTAAATATTTTGATTGTTTTATTTTTAAACATATAGCAGTTGAATGCTTAAAAATAAAAATATTTAAATTATTGTATTTAAAAATGCTTATTGAAATAAATAACGAAAAATATAACAGCAAGCTGTCAAGAATGTTTTGTGATAAACAAAGAAACAGAGACAAATAATCCAGTCAAGTAAAGTATTGAATAAATTTAAATATTTTTCACAAAAGATAAACACATTGTATTGATATGTTAATAAGAACATAGTCATACCTCATTACATAATATATTTTCTTAATATTGTAACCGCTACGAACCAATTCATAGGTACATATATTGTTGTAATAAAAATAAATAAAGATGTAGGTAATTAATTAGTCACGACTTAGCATTGTTACCGCAAAATACTACTAATAATGCAGCAACAACACTTAACCAAGTCTAAATAAAATAAAATTCCTAGTTTATCGCCATAGCGAAGAATGCGTGAATAAATCAAGCCATCGCAATTTTTCTAATGCGCAAAATGAAATTTTGCCGGAGTACTTCACAGAGATCAAAAAAAAAAGAAAAACTTTGTTTTGAAAGACACCAAATTGAAATCTTGTCGATCTAGTTAAGATTTTGTCGTAATCCAAAGTACACACTCGACAAGTGTTGTAATAGGATTTGTTGTAAAGTTATCGATCGTCGAATCTATTGTGGAAAGGTATATAATTATTACAGAATTGCTATTAGCGTAATGATTGGGTGTAACCAAGCAATTATATTGACGCTTCCGTTCTGGTCCGGATGATTACGTTATTATGGATCACTATGGATAAATATTGCAAAAGCGTTGTCCGATAAACTGGCGCGGGCTTTAACAACATTCGGGAACAATGAAGCGCGTGGTAAACATAAGGGAATATTAGATTTTGAATAGCTATTAAGCCAGCCAAACAATATAATATCAAGCTAAAATAGGCCATATTTATTACAAAATCAATTCAAAATTTTCTCCGCATTTATAAATGTCCTGAACGAAAAAAAAAATAGTTTAGGTACTTAATATGCCTCCAAAAAGAATTAAAAAAAAAATGCTTTAGCGTCAGAATTCACACTAAATAAACAAACTAAATAAGTGGTGTCCCTGAAGCCATTGAAGCAGTATTAATCATTTAAGAAGTATCTTTAATCTTCACAATCCTGCAACCTGTAAAGCATCCGGTCACGCAAAAGTATAAAATTCACATCATCTGATTAGAAGTTTTGAAGTGCCAAGGCGGGGTCACGCATAGAGCCGTTGAATTTGTCGTGAGTTGTTACCGGATCTTATGATCCAGCGGACGGTATGCTGCGGTTATTGTATGCTCTTGACTTTCCCCAGCATCGGATTCCGTGTCGCGGTTGCCGCGGGGTGAACAGCACGCGGACGGAATCGGTGGAGCGTTAAAAATGAACCAGTTGGGATTGATTCACGCCGGTCCAGCTAGTAGCAACGGTGGTGGCGATCTGTGCAACATCAACGCTCCACAACGTGTCGTTAATAAAATCTGTTTACCTTGTCCGATGCAACGAGTAAATCTATTTCGAAGATAGTGAAATCTTACTTTTTAAACGGCAGTGATTTTCAATTAATTTAGTATTACGCATGTGTAGATATAATTCTGTAACTGGTTTATGTCCGTTGAATAACAAAAACGTAAATCACTACTTTATAACCAACGTATTGACAATATATGTGTACATATATTGAGGACGAAGATTAAATTCGAGTAACACCATAAAAACAAATAATCTTTAAAACTGTAATAAAATAATTAAATACCAGTTAAGTAACTCCACAGTCGAAAAGTGCTCATTGTTGTGGGTAGAACGACGTTAATGAGATTGTAAAAGTCGTAATATTGGAAGACAATAACCAAAGGCTGCCTGCCCACGCAACTAATAATACAGAAAAGATAAAAGTTGGCTGTCTCTAAACGGAACTGGACAAAAACAACTTTGGCATTCTGCGAGTGATTACGCAAGTTTGAATGTTGACAAAAGTGCACGCGGTGACAAGCCACATGAAAAAGTTGAAACATAAGAAGCGAAACTCGACAACCGGAGAAAGTATCGAGGAGGCGAGCATTTCGTGGTTGTGTCCACGACCAAACGGTGATAATTAAGAAATCAGCAGAACCATATCAATTGTTACTTTTTTTCCTTGAAAGTCAGTAAAACGGTCAAAATTACAGCTTTCTCGTGATTTTTTCAGGTCTTATTTAAATAAACAAGATTTTGACTCAGAAATAAGTATTGACCAAAGCGAATTGTCAATTTTGATATCAACAGTAATGCTCATTTGACACTTTCCAACCTTTCAGTTTTTTAAGAAAAAAGATAACGCAATGATACATTGAAAGACAACGCTTACAAGATAGATGTAAATAAGAAATAAAGAAACCTCAAACATGACGGAGATAAGCTCTTTGTTTACCACTATGCACGTGCGTGCTCACGACAAGCATTTGTAAATAGACCTCCCAGAACAATGACAACACTTTCAACGCACTTTTAGAAGGTACGTCCTAAAGAGAACTCAAAAAAAAATTACAAATACAAAACCTCGGCTCTTTATTACCATCCCTTCATTATTCATGTCCATAGGGGCATCTGCCGAATATGACGACGGGCAACTTGCACTGGGGAATTTCCAAACCGGTTATAAAGGCGAAAAAAACACATAAGCAATGATTGAACGTCTGACACAAGCGGTACACGAAAACGTTTCGTGCGACTTAAAAATCTCTTATTACTCAATATCATACTTCATAATCAAATTCGATAACACCGGTCAAATATGTCACCACAATGCAATTATGAGACAAGGCATGGATTATAAAATGAAATTACATACATGAAATGTAAGCGAGTGAACGTAGATAAATAAATGACAAAGGACTTTGTGAATCATGTTCACTAATTGCGTTGTAATCGTTATACAATGCCGACTAGGCGACAAAGGTCGCGCGGTGAAATTGTACGACTTGCATGAAAAAGTTACTCATTAGTCACAACTCCTGAAACAAAACACTCAAGTGGCGCCCGCGCCTTGCAATGTGGCACTGTTGATCATTAGTACAAACTGTGGAACATTCTACACGTCGCCAGCGGTTGCATCAGTTACATTGTCAAACGCGCCGACTCTATTAAGCTATCAACTCTATTGGTGGTGTTGCGAACGATTCGATTAGATCTGGCTGGTTGTTAAATGATAAACACGCGGCTTCTGTTTTGTAGTCTGTAGCGTTTGGATTAGAAGAGATAGGGCCGGTGCACCGGTCGTGTATTGTTGTCATCGTACAGCGAATGGCGGCGCACGCGCAAGGTCATCGAAGGGAAATCGACGGGTGTAGTGTCGACATGGCGCCACCGGTTACATCTCGTGCCTATATTTCATAACTACTTGCGGTGACTTCAATTGTAAGTACAAAGTAACAGATTGAATTTAACCGAGTCACTCTAGTCAACCAAACAAAGTTTTTATTGCTGTATGGCAATGATGCAATTGATGAGAGAAATGAAAAAGTACACGGATGGAATTTGGAAATAGGTATTATAAATTCGAGTCACGTGTTTGTTTTGATGGTTGACTTTACGTGTGCCGCTCGTAAAACGAGAACCGGCGCTGTAGAAATATGGACAATAAAATAAATTGGACACAAAGGACATTAGTAGGACAGCAGCGGCGTGGTATGGAGTGGAGCCGGTGTTGGTCACGCGAAACGGACACGCAATGGTGCTTTCCCAAGGATTTCACAAAACTCTGCCACTTTTGTGAATGGCTTAATTAAAACCATGTGCGATGTATTCGTAAAGCGAGATTTAAAACGATGTAACGGTAGTAGTAATCTGCACGAAATGGTGATTTTGTTTAAAAATCAATTAAAATTTAAACAAATTGCTGTCCATTTGTTTATATTTTCATTGATTTGCTGGTAGAACTCAAGTGTGGTTTAAAGACAATGAATGTGTAGCGTGGTAGATATTTTTATAAATAATAGATATTTCTGTATCTACGTTGCTCCAATTTTCAAAGAAAATACTGAGGAAAGCTTTATTGATAGGAACGGTAATTTAATGCATTTTCATTTGAAAGAAAGTACTTAAGATCTCGCCAATAGCGTATTCAGCTGCAAGGTCAGTAATATCGATTTAAAATCTAGACCGAGTGTGAAAAGAGTTAGGCTGTTTAGTGCAGCGGATCGATACAACGACGGTCAGACGACAGATACACGTAGGTCCGATAGAGGCGGTTGACGTCAGGCGATCGCAGCGGCTTGTCTGGCTGCAGCCGGCCACGTTACCGACGAACCTTCACCGACTTACCGGCCCAGTAATTAGCTGACAACTGTGAGAACCTTCACACCACCGGCGAACACCCCGCGAGGTCGACACACTACGCTAGCTAGCTAGCGCAGCTCGCGGTTGCACTGCGCCAACCGGCGAATGTGGTGACAGAGAAATAACAGTACTCACACCGGGTAGAAGTAGTCGATGTACTTGACGACCACTTCCCTGAGTAAATCTTGTTTGTTCATGATGGACGAGTAACTTGCACTTATAAGTTTAGTTTGCATGGCTCCCACTTCGCCTATCGATTGCACAGAGCGGGACTTGCGGGTCCCAACGGATGGATTTAGCGGCGCCGTTTTTGAGGTTTTGAATTTGTGTAGGTTGTGCGTGTTTGTGGTGTAAAAAAGTAAAAAAATGTTTGTTGAAGTCGCGCGGGCAACTGTACCGACGCGTTGCGGCAAACTGGGGCCGCGGCCGGTCGCAGCGCGGCGCGAAAGGGGGGAGCGGCACCGTCGGAGCAAGCGGCGCGCGCACTGTTCTGCCGACTCTACCACTACGGCTCCGATGGCGCTTCAAAACACCCAGGCGACGCTTTTGCGACACACCCGCCCGTCCCTCTACAAAATCAGAATCACTCTAACAGCTGTCGCACCTAGCATCTAGCTTTGGGCAGTCCGTTTAAGTTATCCACTCGTTTAGGTTCAAGGTTGAATAAATTCGATAGCCGTTTTTGCAGGTGCCCCAATTGTAGAGTAAAAATAAACAAAGAAAAGATAAGATTGGACTTGCTATTTTGAAGTTTCTTTTTGCTGGTTAATAATAAAATACACAATGAGGTACTTTTATTAGAAATGTTAATGAAATAGGTTTCAGTCCGCATTTAATTCGAGAGATCGTGACTGTTATGGCTTTACATTATTGATAGTTAAGAGTTTTGAGTAGCTATTTATTCCTAGCATTATCAGCGGCAGCTAGACGAGTGTCATCAAGCCATTGACGGAGTCGTTATTGTTCACTTCCGCGTATTGATCTGCAAGGACAAAGTTTGCGACGAGACTCGGGCATAGGCAGATATTTTTATTACGTTTTTATTTTTTTAATGCAACCATCTAAATACATTTACAGTAAATACAAAGGCACGCTCCAAGGATCACCACGCGGATCGTTCCTGCGTTGCACCGTTTAAATTCTATTTTTCTTCAATTAATTACCTAGAATTAATTGAAGAAAAATAGAATTTAAAAGAAAAGTATTATCATAGAGACGATATATATGAGGAAATATATGAGAACCAAAAATCATTTAATTCTAAAGATTCAACGCAAACGAGGTGGCACATACATCCTTTTTTACAAAACAGATTATTATAATGCACATCACAACCCGGACTTCGTATTTAGTTGAATCTTTTCGGATGCAATACTTTAGCATAAATTAGTTGCTCAAGTAAACAAAAATTTGAACATTACACTATAGCTGTTTAAATTTGCATAGATAAGAAGCCATTAAGACTGCTAGTACTAGCCACAAGCACAATCAAAACCAAAGCATAGCACATCAGTTCCAACGTAATATGTTTTTTGCAAGATTTATCGCTACGTGACTTTTCGCGTTACAAAACACATTTGAACAATTACGAAATTATTCAGACAATTTTATATCAAAAAGGTTTCACAAGCATTGTCTAATAGTTTTAATAGCGGTAGAGAGCTAAGTAGTGGATGACAACGATGAATGATAATGTACATAATGTGGTGTGTATGCAACAGTATTGTTTTGATGGAGCGAATGAGTATTAATTACATGGAATGACATAAATATGATACTCATTAACCTTGACGCGGTAATTAAAAACTGGATAATTCTAGTCAGATTAGTGGTTAGTGCGAAAACGTGTCTTTAGAATTAGATATTAATATTCATGAAATTAATCGGTCCATACCATGCGATGACCACATAAAGATTCTTTCATATAAATCTAAACATAGCAAATAAGAACGATGTTTGGGTTGCGTTAAATAACTTTAATAAAGAAACACGACAAAATTGTCATGTTACAAACAAGAATGTAAGTATAATACCACAATTCCAAAATAACGTTATAATGATAAACAGAAACGTGTGGAACAAAGCAGATCAAAGTTTGGATGATAGAGATTTTTATGATTAGATAAAAAGATTTAGCTGTTGGTGAAGATAGTAGTAATATTATAGAAATTACTGCCTTATCAACGATGGATAAAGTTTGATATAATAATGTAAAGACGAATCATCGTTAGTGTAAGTGACCTTTAGATACATCTATACATTCCGTCATTATGACGGAATGATTCCGCTGATTGTTGCAACAGCAAAAAGGTGTAGCATGTACCTACTATTGTAAGCGGTTTTTTTGTAATCTGTCGCAATTACGCGCAAATTATCTTCATTATCACTGATTACATGCTACCAACTAGAAATAAAGTTCATACATTCAATGAGGTGTCTGAGTACATGTATGTTGTACATTATTATCGTTTGATAAAATAATGATGACCTAATAGAGAGTTCGAGCCAATCATAGAGACTTTTGAAGACGTTTATAAATGACAAGCTTCCGCAACTTCGTCCGTGTTAATGTTAGTTTTTGAAGATTCCTCAGGGACCTTATATTTTCTGGGGCACAAAGTATCCTATGTCTTAATCCAGGAAATAAACTAAATGTGTGCCCAATTTCAGAATCAATTCAGAAATCGTTCATTCAAATACACAACGATCAAACTTTCACATTTATAATATAAGTAGGATACAAGTGCGGGATTACGCGACGCAAAGGCAAAATTTGTAGTCACGTTAAGTTCTGTCAAGTGACAAGATCCTGATTTACTTCTTTATTGCCTTAATAGGAACTAACTTAGAGAGATTGGGATTTCCGTTCGCATCTATATGGTCACGTACCAGTTTATGCAAGTTTCGAAATGATTTAAGAGTCCTTAGAAATTCACTTTTAATTGAATTTAAAAGAGTTCTTGAACTTTAGCATTAAAATAATTACATATACTCGAATCACGTAGGTAGTAATCCGTTAGCAATTAATGGTATATTAAAAGGTGATAAGATTGAACCTTTTTGTAAGCAAGAGTTACTTACTATATTAATTACGAATAATGAACACAGAGCGAGTGAGTGTTCAAACGTGGTCAAGGTTACTAAAGACGAAGCTTCTGGTCTTCCAAGATACAGTATTACCTACGAAGATAATAAACAAATATAATCTTTACAATCAAGAACTGATTATAGAAAGTAACATGTTACAGTGATAAGAACATATTGTATCAAATAGTTGAACAGTACAGACAATGCGATAAAATTAAACTTTACCAGATTTGTAGCTAATGTGTACAATATAATAATAAAAAGTAGGAATTGAGCGGATTGGAACGATAAAGCCCTCCAGAGTTCGACAAGACGTGAACAAGTGTCACTGTAGGAGTTTCAATGTCAAATCAACTTACGAGCACCACGTGTTTCGGCGCGCGAAAGGCGAGCGGTTTTGTTCGACAGTTATCGGCGGTTTCGGTTGCGCTTCCTGACTGAGGTTGAGTTTGAAACCGGCAATGGATTTCCGTCGCTTGGCAGCAAGGGCGCGCGTGGCTAGGTCCGTGTCGTGTTGCTCGGGCGAGGAGGCCCCGGCGGCGTGCGAGCAACTCTTCATGTGCGCCTGCGCGATCGCCACCTGCAGCAGCTTCGAGGAGAGGCTGCGGCGCCCCAGGGCGTCACATGTCGCGCACCGACCCTCGTCCATATCTTCTCGTGCGCCCAGCCCGGCCACGCCGCGGACACTGAGCGCGTATTGTTTCCAACGGACGTGGTACCGACGGCCGCTTAACTGATGTCATCCGACGAGCGGTGCACGCGCGTCCGCTCTCGTTCGACCGACGCACAAGAATTTCAAGCGTCGGTACGGACTGAAGTGGAACTCGATCGATACACCGACGAAATAGGTTTAACGCGATAATAGGAGCGATAAGGTGTACACGCGAATAAGTGTGTTGACCTAGACGGCTGCCTAACCGTCAGGCACGAGCAGGGCTTCGCATCGGCCTCGGGGCGGGCGTGCGCGGGCGGCTCGGCGCATGCGACTGCGGTCCCAGGGCGAGGCGCCCCGCCGCCCGCCGTAATCCGAACATCAGCTAAGATATCGATGTTTGCGGTAACAATACTGAATATCAATGCGTGACCATCGTACGACTGTGGGTCAGCAGATAATGCCGTTGTATATAAAATCTAAAGAAGTGTCATCCGTGCATTCCGCTGGAAGCGGTCCAGGTGGTGGGACTGTATAAATAATTACCACGGGCCAAAACACCAGCCGCCTTAAGAAAAAGTTCGATCGATCTTTGTAAAAGCGTTCGAAGTGAATGAAATGAAATAAAGATACCTATTACATCATTCTATATTGGTTGTAAAAAAAAGACAGTCGAAATCGGTCATACAAATAAATCAGGAGAAATAGACAATATTAAAAATCCTTTAATTTTTGTAAGTCCTACTTTCATTTGGTGCAAGTAGAGCAAGGCCTCGCCTGGGATCGTCCTAGAATAGCTATTTTCGAACTAAATAGTGCGTAAATATTTCAGAGTTGAAATAAAGATATAATTAAAATAATTTTTAGCCCCATTCCAAAGAAAGTAGGGCGTATCGTGTCTGTTGTCCACGTTTTGTATGCCAATTAGAATGGTTTTTGATTAACTTTTAATAAAAGTCAGGTTTTTGTTTTATTACAAATTATATAGGTACAGATAACGAAGACATGTGCAGCTGCAGACAATTCTGGCTCATAAATAGCGCTAATAATTTTTCGACGTCATTTATCTAATTTGGGTAATGTCGATCGATGCTCAAGTATTTCAGGAAGTGTCGATGAGATCTGAATGAGGTGACACCCTGTCGAATTTGATTGGCCGTGGAGACGTGGATGGATAATACGCAGCGTGCCAAATATCTGCCCATCGCATCGACATTATCCACTGTAAATAACGTGAAATATTGACGACGCAACAATTTAAATGATAAAAGTGCCCGAACAATTCGACCTAACGAAAGGTTGTTTGTATACATTTGTAGATAAGTTTCTTTAACTTGATTCATATACCTGATTGATAGAAATCTTACTAAAGAACATAAGTCAATTTTTGATGACATAATGATGAATTAATAATACCCTAAATTTCGTTTTATATAAACATTTTATTAGTTATTCTTCTTGTGGACAAGAATTTCGTTTCCTATGCAAGAGCTTCCTTTAGTGAGATCATGTAGGTAGACAGATAGATTCAGCAGTAATGTGTATAGCACATACAACTTATTTTATTAAAATACAATTACCTTATTTTCAAAATCGATTTGAAAAACGAACAAAAACACACATTCATTTGTTTTTTAACCGACTTCAAAAAAGGAGGAGGTTGTATGTTCGACTGTATATATTGAATTAACAGCTTACGTCAGTTCGAATTGTAAATAAAACTTTTGATAAGTTACCTCATTGGTTGCCACTTTCGGAATTAAAGATCGTTCCATTTTCAAATTACACGACAAATATAAGTTTATTATGTCATTTATTTGTCCGCAAAATACGACAGTTACGGATTTTCATACAACTTTTGCCGGCCGCTGCTCGCATGTATGTGGCCAGTACAGCGACTTTGATTTATCACGAAGAAGGTTTTGAGAAAGCATAAAAGCATTTTTCAGAAAGTATTTCTTTACTCATCAATTTAAAACGTTTTGATTTGAACAAGAAACCTTGATACAAAATAGTTAAATCCATTTTAAAAAAAGCACAAAGCTAAATAAAAGAATTATTTGAAAGCTTTTACTGATGACAGGTAAAATTTACTACTCTTTTGAATAAAAGGTTTACTGTCATACCAACGTATAAAAAAACCACGTTATCCTTGATTTTCTATGACTATTTTTAAGCCTCTAGTATAAGTCAACGAACAAAAGCCTCATTAGTGTTTTAAATCTTCCTAATTTTATGGACCCCTTCATTGGATCCATCAATGCAAGGTCTACGATTAAGTCAATACATTTTATCATGTAAAACATAATTGCATTGAACCATTCTTATTCGCACAGAGCAGCATTTGCATCATTCGTTTTGCGTAATCATCACAATTAAGATATTGCATTGCCACTTATTATGTCTAAAATAAGTTTTTATTATGTCTATTAAATTGTAATAAGAATAATGGTTCATGACTGCCGGACTGAATATAATATAATGCTTAAGGCAATACATTTTATTTCTTAAATTAATATGTTAAAGGATATCTAAAACTCTAAACAAACCAATTTTTTACACGATTACTGCCAGTGAAAAGAGTGTATTGTCTTCAGGGCATGTACTAATCTAAAAAATAAAAATATCTAGGCTACAACGCTGAATAATCGTTGCTAAGAAACTGAACCAGATTATCCTTACCATTCTAAGGGGTTGATCAATGAATCTTGCCTTAAGGGTACAAAAAAATTTACATACATACAAACATGTAGCATGGAAACAATACACTCTTTTCTTTTGTGTAGTAACTGGAGGACGATTGTAGAAATTGGCCGTTACTTCTAGAAACATGAATTCAGAATTAATGGACGCCAATTCTTTAGTGGGTACAGTCTATACGTCTACACTGCTGTTGTTAGATTGCGTATCAAAATAATTATTGCCAATCGCCGGAGGCACTTCAGTAATCAATGCTAGTCCGATCGACCAGAAACTATTCACGTTTAATGTGTATGTTTAATATTTGTGGTTCTTATTTACAAAGTCATCGATTTTAACTACCTTCGTGGCAATGTTTAGTATGTAATGAAGATTATAGACACGTCAACATGTCGGGTTGATTGAATACTTAATCAACACTTTACTTGCGACATTGTAAACGAGTAGGTATTAAGTATTATAATAAGTGATCCATGCACCTTGCAAATGAAGCATATAATGTATTACGGCGATAAGGAAAATAAACTTGAAGCAACGTTGGTTATTTTGAGTAGAATGAAAAATTAAGGAATTCCATCAAAACTTCTTGGTGTCAATAGACTTTCTGCTACAAAGGTCCCGTTTGCGAAAGTGAATATGTTTGACCGAAGAGTACAACCTTTCGTTCTCATCAGTTATCATTTCAGTTGAACGAAAAGTGAAGCACTACTAGAATATAATCCTGTTTTCTCATAGTCCTTCTGCTGCAAAGATCCTGGTTTAAGAAAGTGAATTTGTTTGTCCGATGAGTACAACATTTTCTTTTCTTTTCAGTCATCCATATACTTGTGTCAAAAAGTACCTGAGGCGGCCGTGTATATGTCGTGTAACTTATCTACGCGATTCTCCATCTATGATTTATTGTCAATTGATAACAATAAAGTAATCAAGTGTTAATAAATATACTGACAGATGATAAGAAAATCGATTAGCTTGATTTGCTCAAAAACATGATTCGTACAGTTTGCGTTCACAAAGTGCACATTTAAGATTTGTCTGATATTAAAATCAATTTTATCGACGGTAAAGATAACGATATTTTTCCTTTGTATAAATATTGATATTTGTTTAATATTCAAGTATTTGGTGCTTCAAGTTGATGATAGTCAAAGTGATCACAGATATCATAAATGCGAAGTGTGCGTAGAAGAACTCACAAAGTTTCACGTTTAAGTGAAAAGGTTGAAAGGAGTAACTGTAGAAAATGATAACTACATACCAACGTTATGGACCTATATAGAAATGTGGCGATTTTTTTAAAAACACACACAAATGGAACAAGATTTTTCGGAATTTCGATAAATGTGTACCCTGTTACGCGTTCATTATATAACGAAGAAAAGCATAATTGATAGATAAACAACCACATAGGTAATCTTAAATTTCCAACAAAAGGTTTCGAAATGTTCAATTCAGTTAATTTATTTTCCATGCCATAACAGTTGATTTACGCAAAGATATCAATGTTGAAGTAACAGGGTGGGTATATTGTGAAATTGAACATTCTGCCGATTGCGACTAGCGTGTTTTATGATTCAAATCATAAAATATGACAACGACCTTGGAGGAATTTAAGATAAATGTAAGTGAAAGTTAAACAAAAAAAAAACTTACAAAAAAAAAGAATAGCATGATTATTACTTAATGCTGGTTCTGCTCACACGGTGTGTTACATTACAACATAGACTCTTAACGATAGCACTTCGTAGCAAGACATTGTTACCAAATTACAGCCTTGACATTCACGTCTCAAATTGATTGCCAATTTGTTGTGATCATGCAGTTATATTATTTACTGCTTCGAGATTTGTTTTGTCGAATGAATTGACGATATTTCTTCTATCTTCAAACGAAAATTTACCGATGCCGATAAACGCTTCTGCGCCTTTAGAATTTGTCAAAGTAAACACTATCCATAGATAAGGTGCAAAAAAAGGTAAACAACCGCGCCAGCACTGATGAAAAATTTCAGTTGGAGTGTAGTCACCTACTGACCTGTCGAGAACTATACTCATGTGCCTGTGAAGGTTCGCTTTGAGGTCTCTCCGCGAGTACTGGTGTTGCGCGGGCGGGGGTGCGGGGGGCGGGACAGCGGCGCCGACGGGCGGCCGCTTCCCGATCAGCACCCGCAACTCGGCCATCAGCGTCTGCACCATGCGGACACGACTGTAGTACGCCGCACCACCCGCGTTTGTGAACGTCCCTCAATCAAGTGCCAACTTGCCACGAGCCATTGGCTCGGCCGGCCACCGTTGCATCGACGGACCGCGTCACCGATGCACGTGACGATTAATGCAACATCGATATCGACACGGGCGTCCGTCGTCACGGGGCGCGTGCGGGAGCCGCACTGATATTCGTGTGTACGAACGCCGGACGCTTTGACCTCGCCGAAGCTTTTTATAAGTGCCCGATGAGTGCGCAAGGTGCCGTATGAGACAGAATAAATTTCGTATT